TCTATGTTGAATATAACTGGGCTATAAGCATAAATGACTATATAGCTGTGAATGAGTATTAGCCAGCCCTTAATCCTGATCCTAAATCTGGGTTTGGAGGATTGTGGTTTATCCTTGCTTGCCTGTAGAAATTTTAACTGTTTTTCTAAGGGCTAAAGTGGGCCTTTTCTCCCTTCAATTCACTTTCCCCTCCTCAATTCATTTTTCCTTCCTCAATTCACTCTTCTTCTGGATCATACACCTTTGGTTCTTTTCTCTCTCTATTTCCAGCAAAATTACCCCTTCCCCAATCTCTCATGTCTCTGTTGTTTCAGCTGAAGATGTAAAGGGCATGTTTGGATGTGAGATATAATGGTGCATGTAAATAAAAATTAATTTGCTTCCTTATTTTAATGGCAATGACATTTTATTATATTAAATTTTATTTACCTTTTTTGCTCTGGGCCTATCTTATTTGGAGTATGGTTTTTGACAATGGTACATATGCACACATACAGATTTGAACACATAGAGATGCTTGATCTGGTTCCTGGGCATCTGCTTTCTGGCCAGAAATAAATATTTTGTTATATCCATCCTTGATATTTTTTTTTAATGAACACTGCATAATCAGGCATGATTCTCAGGCTTTTTTGGACAACAAAATCTCTTCCCCTTATTTCCTGATCAGGGTCGAACCATTTGCTAAATGTTCAACTATTCTCAGGCATGGTTTACTTCCATCATATATTGGGCCTTCCCTGATCAGCATAAAGCTGGTTTTCCAAATTGTGTTTATTGTTGCCTCTCGTCTTTCAATTATAGTGCAGCATTCCTGAGGATGCTTAATAATCTAAACCACTTGTAATTTTTGCACTCACTATTGCTGTCTCTTCCTTTGTATAGAACAGTAATCGCATTGTTGGGGACCAACGCGTTGTAAAGATCACCACTGGAACTGGAATCTCCTAAAAATATTGGAAAACATGCATTGTTATAAAACTTTACAACATAGGTCTCCGTCCAATATACGTGTCACAATTATGATGTTCTGACCATTTCACCAGGAACAGATCCTTACTAATTCCTTTGCCCTACAGTCATGGACCAAAGTTTTTTTTAAGTAGCATAGATTTGCCAGAGTAGTCCGGCAGCAAGATAGGCAGCAAATTTAATGAATAAATTTGCAGCTATCAAAATTAAAATGGCCATTGTCTCTTTGTTTACCTCCAGATGATCAAAATCCAAAGTCCTAAGAGCTGAAGGCTATACCTGTGACTTAATAGATGTGGATGAGATATTAATAAATGAATAAAATATATATAAAATGTATCCATAGATGGAGTGTCAAAAATACTTGTGTCACCTTGCGATAGGTATAGCTAGTCCTCGACTTATGACAATTGAGCCCAGAATTTGTTGTTAAGTGAGACATTTGTTCAGTGAGTTTTGGCCCATCTTATGATCTTTCTTGCCACAGTTGTTAAATGAATCACTGCAGTTGATAAGTTACTAACCCAGTTGTTAAGCAAATCTGGTTACCACATTGACTTTGCTTGTCAGAAGGTCGCAAAAAGTGATCACATGACCCTGGGACACAGCAACAGTCATAAATATGAACCAGTTGTCAAGCATCTGAACTTTGATCACATGATTGTGGGGATGCTGCAAAGGTCATAACTCTGAAAAATGGTTATGTCACTTTTTTCAGTGCCATTGTAACTTTGAACAGTCACTAAATGAACTGTTGTAAGTCGAGGACTACCTGTATTTCACATAAAGGAGAAACTTTGGAAATGGTGGAATGAAATCTAAGGATTCTTAAACATGCATTCTGAGTACAGAAAGAACTTTAAGCTTTACGTCTCACAAAATTGGTACTGCTTGTGCCTTTTTTTAAAGCAAAGGTTCCATTTGTAAATATTTTTTCTTCAATCAGTTCTGTCCCTTTATTTCCTCAAGTACTTCTTACTACCTCAGGAGACCCTTTAATCTTTCATTTTTTGTATTTTGTTTCTTAACTCTTCAAGAACCACCTATTTCTCATCCCATTTATTTATATAAAAATAGCTTCATATTTTTCCTTTAATACGTAGTTGCCATCTCCCTTGCACACTTGGCCTTTTTGAAAGGTTCCCCTCAGCCTTCTAAATTCCCACATACTTCTGCCATTTCTGAGGTAATATTTTTCTAGAACTGAATGTCTTTTGATCAGTATTCCCGCTTGGAATATGAATATTTTTTCTTCAATCGGTTCTGTCCCTTTTATTTCCTCAGGTACTTCTTACTATCTCAGGAGATCCTTTAGCTTTCATTATTTGTAATTTTGTATTTTTCAGAATTATTTGTTTCCTGTGAGGAATAAAAATTCAACTCCAAAGGTGTTGGAAAACAAAACAAGTTTTATTAAAGCTTTTGCAAAATCTGGTGGATCTCTTGGTAATTACAAATCTCAGAGATCACACTTGAATCAATTTTAGGATAGATTTTTAAACCCTATCCTGTGCATTACACTACATCCTTCCTCTTCAAACCCAGTTGATAGGTCTGAATTAGTCACAGGACCAAACCCAATTATTAGATCAAAAGCCCCTTTGTTCCTGTCTTATCTCCCCTTCCTTGTCTGTAGTATGATTTGTAACATTCTAAGGGTGTAATTTTCCTACAAGGTGAGCCTGTCAACCTAGATAATTGCAAGTAAAAAAGATTTATATCTTCACTTGTTTATCTATAAGAATGCCTGCTTTTCATCTAGAAGCTGTGTGTGTAAGAGTTCTCAGTTCGTGCTTCAGTTAAACATGGCTACACTTTGGCTATAGGATTATACTTTAAAATACTAACTCTAGGCAGTTTTATAAAGAATAAACCTTATATAAATTGAATATGTTATTCATAAACTATATGCTATTCTACAATAGTGTGCACTATTCTAAAACTATGCTTTGAGTCATTGTACATAGTTCCTCTCTATTCCTCCAGCTTATTATATCTTTCCTAAAGCACCTTAGCTAAGTGCCTCTATATACCTATTCCTTTAAGCAGAAGTGGAAAATTACATGTACTTTTATTGTATACCTCACATTTCCTAACTCTTCAAGAACTGTTTTCTCTTCCCATTTATTCATATTAAAATAGCTTCATATTTCTCCTTTAACATGTAGCTGCCATCTCCCTCACGCACTTTACCTTTTTAAAAGGTTCCCCTCGGCCTTCTACGTTTCCACATACTTCTGCCATTTCTGAGGTAATTTTTTTTCTAGAACTTGGAATACTAGTATTTTCAATATTAACTTTTTTTTTCCCCCTTCAGGATCTCCATTTTTGCTCTTCCACAGCTTCTCCCCATGCGCCACTTTTACCACCCCAAATCAGGGGCTGTTTCTCAAAAAAAAAAGGTATCTTCCAGCTGGAGAGTCCTCCCTTGAAAAAGGACATTGGGGCAGGATCCCCCACCACTACCCTCACTACTTCTTAGAGAATTTACAGAATAACTTGAGTTGGAAGGGACTCTGGAGATCATCTAATTCAGCCCCCTGCTCGAGCAAATGGCTGCCCAGTCTATTCTAGAAAGCTTCCAGTCGCTCCTCGGTCTCTTCTTTCTCCCTCAGTTGCTCCTCAGACAGGCGGGAACTCCTAGCCACGCCCCTTCCAACGGGTCTTCCTCGCGGACAGGCGGCAACTCCTAGCCACGCCCCTTCCAACGGGTCTTCTTCGCGGACAGGCGGCAACTCGTAGCCACGCCCCTTCCAACGGGTCTTCCTCGCGGACAGGGGGGGAGCTCTTAGCCCCGCCCCTTCCAACGGGTGTTCCTCGCGGACAGGCGGGAGCTCTTAGCCCCGCCCCTTCCAACGGGTTTTTCCCAAGGTTCTCAAGAGGGGAATTCCCTGGGGGGAATCCGCCAGGACAGTGAAGGAGAGGCCGGAAGGGCCACCCTCTCCTCAATATGGCCTTTCTGGGGCGAAGCACCCGCTCCCTTTAATCCTTGGAGAGAACGGGAGTGAACGAGGACGCCTAGAATGCCTTGGATGTCCGCGCGCGTGCGGCGCTGCGAAGAAGGCGGAGCTTGGCTCGTCCACCTGCATCCTCCAATATATGCTAATCTGCCAATGGATAATGTCTCCAGAGACTGTGAAATCTTGAGTTTTGATCGGGACCACTGAAACTTTGCAACTGTGCCCTCTCCCATATTGTCAGAATAAGGACAAACGGAGAGGCGGAATAACAGAATAAGTTGGGAGGGACCTTGGAGGTCATCTAGTCCAACCCCCTGCTCAGGCAGGAAACCCTATGCCATTTCAGACAAATGGCTGTCCAGTCTCTTCTTAAAAACTTCCAGCGTTGGAGCACTCACAGCTTCTGGAGGTAGGTTGTTCCACTAGTTGTTCTAAGTGTCAGGAAGTTTCTCCTTAGTTCTAGGTTGCTTCTCTCCTTCATTAGTTTCCATCCGTTGCTTCTTGTCCTGCTTTCAAGTGCTTTGGAGAAGAGCTTGACTCCCTCTTCTTAGACCATGAGCTCTAATCCCTTTTTATGCACAGAAGCTGGTTAGATGACTTTGAACTCTCAGTCTGACCCACCTCGCAGGGCTGACATTCTTTGGAAAGCAAGAGTACAAAGGGAGAGACGATGAGCTCTAATCCCCATTTATGCACAGGAGCTGGTTAGATGGCTTTGAGCCAGTTATTCTGCTCAGTCTGACCCACCTTGCAGGGCTGGTGTTCTTTAGACTTTGGGATTCAAACAGGAGACTAGCCATAAAAAGGGAAAGTGGGAGGTTTTTTAAAAACAACAGGCTTTCTTTGCAAAAAAAAAAAAAAGGTTTCCGTTGGGAAAGTGATTATTTTCTCAACTGTGGCTTAGGAAATCAGAACAATCTCAACATAGTTGAGAAGATTATTATTATTGTTGTTGTTGAGTTGGAAGGGTCCTTGAAGATCTTCTAGTCCAGGGGTAGGCAACCTTGGCTCTTTTATGACTCGTGGACGTCTGAGCTATGCTGGCTCAGAAATGCTGGAAGTTGAAGTCCACGAGTCATAAAAAAAAGCCAAGATTGCCTACCCCTGTTCTAGTCCAAAGATGATCACTTTCCCAACGGAAACCTCTTTTTTGCAAAGAAAACCTGTTTATTTTTAAAAAATCCCTCGCTTTCCCTTTTTTATGGCTGCCTCCTGTTTGAATCCCAAAGTCCAAAGTTTGCCCCTTCAAACCCCTTAACTCCCCCACACACACACTTTGCTTCCTAGGATTAAAACAGGATCCTCCAGGGGGCGCTCTCTTGCCAAAAGCTTTTAGGCCAGTGGGAAGGAATCCATAGGATCTGGGAGGATCTGGAAGAGGAGGAGGAGGGAAGAGGGAGGGACCTAAATAGGGAAAAGCAATCTCTGCTTCCACTTTAAATCCCTGACCGCAGTCTTTCCGTGGAAGGAGGGAGGTGCAGCTTGCTGGGAAGGCAACTGGCGTTGGAGGAGCTGTGAGGAAGGCGTTGCACGAATCCTGCCCTGCGCGCCTCTTCTTGGAGGACAGAGTCCCAGGCCCAGGGGCAGAGTAGGGTAAGAAGCTTCCACTCTCCTCTCCCTTCAGACACTTCTGGTAACGAGACGGGGAAAGTGCTTGGAAATTATGACTTTTAAATGCTGCTTTTAGGCATCCCTCCTAAGATTGTTCCTGTAGGCACCACTCTTTCTCCCTGGAGTTGTGGAGTTCCCCACCACCACCGCCAACCACTGGAAGTTTTTCCAAAAGAGACCGGACAACCATTTTGACCAGGATAGTATAAAGCAGTGTTTCTCAACCTTGACAATTTTAAGGCATGTGGACTTCAACTCCCAGAATTCCACAGCCAGCAGCCTTGAGCAGAGGGGGTTGGACTAGAAGACCTTAGGGGTTCCCTAGGATTCTGTGTTCTGTGATAGTTTCCCATGGGATTTTTTTCCCAGTGCTGTGTCAGGTAGCCCTTGATTGAAATGGCCGCTGGCCACTTTCTCCTACAACACAGCTTGCCTCCCGGACTTGTAGCTGCCCCAGGTACTGGAAGTTTTTCAGAAATAGACCCGGATCACCATTTGACCTATAAGGCCTTCTGCCTTGCGCAGAGTTGGGGTTGGGCTAGAAGACCTTGGAGGTCCCTCCCAGCCTTAGGATTCTATGTTCTAGGATCATTTCCCATGGGTTTTATATTAATGATGATGATGATGATGATAATGATAATAATAACAATAGTAATAAAGTTGGAAGAGGTCTTGGAGATCATCTAGTCCAACCCCCTGCTCAGACAGGAAATCCTATACCATTTCGGACAAATGGCTGTCCCTGGTGCTTTAGTCAGGTCCAGAAGCCTTTGATTGAAATGGCTGCTGAATACCCTGGAGGAATTCCTGCTTTGCCCCTTTATTTCTTTGCTCATGCCAGACTGCCATTAACCCTGGGGGAAAGGGGGCGGGGAGGGAGCCATCAAGGTTGAGAGAGCCCAGGCCACAAGCAAGGAAATGGAATGTGGACCCATGGCCAAGCCAGCCAATCCAATTGGACATCAGGGAGATAATTGGGGGGGGAGGGCTTGAGAGAGGGGAAAGTAAGTGGGCAATCTTAGCCTGCAAACCTCATATCTGTTTTTTTTTCTCCTCTCTCGTAACCACTCGTCTTTAGTAAAAGTAAATCCTTTTACTACGACTGCAGTTGAAGGCTCTTCCTTCCTAAATGACCGAGTCAGGACAAGTCCCACTGAAAGGAGGAATGGTCCTTGGAGCCATTGTTTGGGGGAGTCGCTCGGGAGGGACCTACCTCAAAAGAGGTAAAAGGTCCTTCTGAGGCAGAAAGGAATAGAATAGAGCTGGAAGGGACCTTGGAGGTCTTCTAGTCCAGCCCCGCATTCAAGCAGGAGTCCCTATATCATTTCAGACAAGTGACTGTCTAGGCCAGTGGTGGCGAACCTATGGCACGGGTGCCAGAGGCGGCACTCAGAGCCCTCTCTGTGGGCACGCGCGCCCTCGCCCCAGTCCTAGGCCTTCAGCTGGGTTTTATAAAACATTTTCGCTTTTGCCTTGTGCAAAAGAAAAAGGTCCAATCAGTCAATTTCAACTTCTTGCGGGGGGGGGGGGAAGTTCTTGCAAAGTTGGAATTGATTGATTGAACTTTTTAGTCCCACCCAGTCTGCCATTACCACTGCAGCTACACCCACCCAATGGGCCACACCCATCCGGCCCTCGACAATGCATAAGTGGGTTTTGGGTTGCAGTTTGGGTACTCAGTCTCTAAACGTTTCGCCATTCACTGGTCTAGGCTCTTCTTAAAAATCCCCAGTGGTGGAGCACCCAAAATTTCTGGGAACAAGTTGTTCCACTGATTAATTGTCCTCCCTGTCAGGAGGTTTCTCCTTAATTCCAGGTTGCTTCTCTCTTTGATCAGTTTCCAACCACTGTTTCTTCTCCTGCCCTACTGATAACAAAACAAAATGGGTTTTGTTATCAGTAAAAAGAGCAGCAGGTCCATTTTGTACAGAGGTGGTTCAGGAAAGTTGCCCCATTCATGCATCTCGCTCAAGGCTCCGTTTCAGCTGACGATGCCCCCCCCGTCCCGATTGAATTTGCCCGCATTTCTTTTCTTCATGGGTTCCTTTTTGTTTTTCCATGTCCTTGTTTTTTATATCGCCACTCAAGAAAGATTCATTCATCAAGGAGAGAAGCAAGCTGGAATTAAGAAGAAATCTCCTAACGGGGAGGACAGTTAACCAGTGGAACATCTTTGCCTTCAGACGTTGTGGGTGCTTCATCACCAGAGCTTTTAGGGAAAAAAAACTGGAGGGGCCTCTTGTCTGAAATGGCACTATAGAGTCTCCTGCTTGAGCTGGGGGTTGGACTGGAAGACCTCCAGAGGTCTCTTCCAGCTCTCTAGTCTGACTCCAAAGGGCTGGGGGCAGTGTGCATTTGAAAAGAAATCATCCCTTTCCTGTAGGCCAGTGGTTCTCAACCTGTGGGTCGGGACCCCATTTGGGGTCGAACGACCATTTCACGGGGGTCGCTAAACAACGTAGTCCGCCATTTTTTTCCCCCTTTTCCTTAGCTGTGCTACTCCCTTTTATTCTATTGGCTTTTGAAAGCCAATAGAAGAGACTCTCTTGAATAGAGTCTAATTCTATTGGCTTTCAAAAGCCAATAGGAATTGTCCAGGCTGTCTCTGCCCTGCTGAACCTGCCAAAAGTCCCAGTCTGCAAACGGGGGTGCACAATTGAGTAGTCCTCGACTTACGACCGGTTGAGTAGTCCTCGACTTACGATCAGTTGGGGGTCGCGGCATTAAAAAGGTTGAGAACCACTGCTATAGGCTATTCCAAAGGGCAAGTGCCACCTGTGGAAAAAAAAGAGTTTTTCTTGTCTTCCCTGATTATCTGACAGGGAGGGTGAACACTCAATAGAACTCCCTGAGATGGGATCTGCTTGAGGCCTCCAGGTCAAGCTCTGTGATGCTTCAGTGCATACATTCATGGCTGTGAGGCCTGCCTTTGAATCCAATCCCTGGTCCTTCCACACCTTTCAGTTTTCTTCCCACCCAGTGTCAGCTTCTGTGTGTTGTTGCTGTGGCTGTAAAGCACTCAGATAAACTGATTCTCTACTTAGCACAGAAATAGGTAAAAATCGCCCTTCCGCACTGCAGGTTCAAGAATGTCGCTAGGATGTTTGATCGCAAATTATTGCTGTTTCCCCCCCCCCCACTGGTAAATAGTCCTCGACTTACGGCCACAATTGGGCCCAACATTTCTGTTGCTAGGGGAGACATTTGTTAAGTGAGGTTTGCCCCGTTTTTATGACCTTTCTTGCCACCGTTCTTAAATGAATCGCTGCAGTTAATACGTTAACTGCACTTAACGGTGGTTAAGTGATTGTCATAAGTTCACGGAAAGGGGATCACATGACCCTTTCAGGGTCATCAATATGAACCAGTTTGCCAAGCATTTGAATTTGGATCACACGCACTCGTCGTCTTAAAAGGTTCGCCATCACTGACCTAGAGGCTTTGCATTTTGTTTATTCCTTTGGAAAGATTCTCCAAAGAAGATGTTTATTTGCCCTGCTTGGAAATTTTTGCTGATGGCTTTGTTCATTATGAACAAAACTTGCATATAATTTACTGAATTTTTCATTAATAGGAATGTTCATAGAATGTTCTCTTTCTGTTTTAGGAGTTGCCACGGATATAGCTGTGTTTTTCTCCATGGAGGAAGGGGCCCTGGTGGATGCTGAGGAAAAAGCCCTGCACCGAGAGGTCATGCTGGAAAACACAAAGAATATGGCCTCCTTAGGTAAGAGATTCTGTTAAGATGTTTATATTTATAAGATTATTAAGATGTTTATATTTATAATAATAATAAAGTTGGAATGGACCTTGGAGGTCATCTAGTCCAACCCCTTGCTCAGGATGGAAACCCTATGCCATTTCAGACAAATGGCTGCCCAGTCTCTTCTTAAAAAACTTCCAGTGTTGGAGCATTTACTGCTTCTGGAGGCAAGTTGTTCCACTGATTAATTGTTCTGTCAGGAAATTTCTCCTTAGTTCTAGGTTGCTTCTCTCCTTGATGAGTTTCCATCCATTGCTTCTTGTCCTGCCTTCAGGCAATTTGGAGAATAGCTTGACTCCCTCTTCTTTGTGGCAGCCCCTGAGATATTGGAACACTGCTATCATGTCCCCCCTCATCCTTCTCTTCATTAAATTAGATATACCCAATTCCAGCAACCGTTCCTTATATGTTTTAACCTCCAGTCCCCTAATCATCTTTGTTGCTCTTCTCTGTACTCTTTCTAGAATCTCAATATCTTTTTTACATTGTGGTGACCAAAACTGGATGCAGTGTTCCAAGTGTGGTCTTACCAAGGCATTGTAAAGTGGTATTAACACTTTATGTGATCTTGATTCTATCCCTCTGTTAATGCAGCCTAGCACTGTGTTGGCCTTTTTGTCAACTGCAGCCCACTGCTGGCTCATATTTAAGTGATTGTCCACTAGGAGTCCAAGATCCCTCTGACAGTTACTACTATTGAGCAAGGTACTCCCTATACTATAACTGTACATTTGGTTTTTCTTGCCTAAGTGTAGAACCTTATTTTTTTCATCATTGAATATCATTTTGTTAGATAGCGCCCAGTGTTCAAGTCTGTCCAGATCCTCCTGTATCTTCTGGAGTGTTGGCTATTCCTGCCAGGTTGGTGTCGTCTGTAAATTTGATGAGTTCCCCATCTATCCCCTCGTCCAAATCGTTGATGAAGATGTTAAAGAGCACTGGGCCCAGAACAGAGCCATGGGGCACCCCACTACACACTTCCCTCCATGTAGATGCAGTTCCATTGAGGACCACACGCTGAGTATGGCGGTCAACCAGCTACGAATCCATCTGGTGGTGATGCTGTCTTACCCACATTTTTCTATCTTATCAAGTAGTAGGTTGTGATCTACTTTGTCAAATGTCTTACTGAAGTCCAAGTAAATTATATCCACAGCATTCCTCTGATCCACTAATTTTGTCAGTTGGTCAAAGAATGCAATAAGATTTCTCTGGCATGATCTGTTTTTGACAAACCCATGTTGGCTTTTAGTAATGACTTTGTTTGCCTCTACATGTTCGCTGATCCGTTGTTTGATTATCTTTTCCAGAATCTTCCCAGGTATTGAGGTCAGGCTGATAGGTCTAGGTCTATAGTTTCCTGAATCTATTTTTTTCCCTTTTTTGAAGATGGGAACTACGTCAGCTCTTTCCCAGTCCTCTGGTAGTTCCCCAGTGCTCCAGGATCTTTCAAAAATATAGTTCAGTGGTTCTGAGATCATATCTGCCAGTTCCTTGAGAACCTTGGGGTGTGATCCATCTGGTCCTGCTGATTTGAACCTGTCTAGGTTGGACAGGTGTTCACTTACCATTTTCTTGCCTATCTTAACTTGTGTTTCTAATCTGTTTTTTTTTTTTAATGGTACTGTTTTTGATAGGTTGGACTGTTTTTTTCCCTTTGTGTAAAGACAGATGCAAAGAATGAGTTAAATAGTTCTGCTTGCTCCCTGTTTCTTGTTACCTTCTTGCCACTTTCCCCCAATGGACCAATCATTTCCTTCACTTTTTTCTTGTTTTTTACATGTTGAAAGAAGCTTTTTTTATTATTTTTGACTTTGGTTGCAAGCCTTAGTTCATTTTGAGCCTTAGCTTTCCTCACTTCATCTTGCAAGCACGTGCTATTTGCTGATATTCTGCCTTAGTTATGTGCCCCTCTTTCCACTTTTTATACTTGTCCTTTTTATCTTTCAATTTATCAGAGTTCTTTATGCATCCATGCTGGTTTCTGTTGAGAGCTGTTATTTTTCTTCTTTGTTGGTATTGTGCTAGACTGGGCTTTTAGGTTGAAAGGATCACACACCTTGGTTCCATTTTACATGAAAGCTGGGACATGACCGTTGAAGTAAAGACAGGGATAGAAAAAGCTCGAACGGCATTCTTCAAAATGAAAAAGGTCTTCTGCAGTCATGACATAAGCCTAAGATTGAAAATCAGGCTTCTCATATGCTATATTTTTTCTATCTTGCTATATGGAGTAGAGAGCTGGTCTCTGACAGAAGGCCACCTGAAGAGAGTAGAAGCATTTGAAATGTGGATTTACGCATAAGCTGGGTTGACAAGATCAGAAATGAGGTGATAAGCCAGCTGGGAAAGCCAAGGGAAATCATCAAAACAATTAAAAAACGAAAATTAGAATATTTTGGACATGTGATGCGACACTCAGAAAAATACGGTATATTCCATTTAATCCTCCAGGGAAAGATTGAAGGCAAACAAGGTTCAGGCAGAAGAAGAACATTGTGGCTTCAAAATCTAAAGGACTAATTTGGACAAAACTCAGCAGCACTTTTTCATGCGGCTGCTGATAAGAACAGGATTGCCAACATGATCGCCAACGTCTGATAACGAATATGGCACAAGAAAAAGAAGGGCTTTTATTATCTCTCTTTTCAAAATTTCCCAAGCTTCTTAAGTTGTTTTCCCCTTGAGGATTCTCATCCATGGAATCCTTCCCAAGCTCTCTCTTAAGTTTATTGAAATTAGCTTTCTTAAAGTCCAAGACTCTAGTTTGACTGTGTCCTATTGCTTTAGTAGCTGGAACAGTGGGGTTGTAAAATGAGTCAGAAGTTACAGTTATAGCTGATTGGTTGGAGAGAGCTGTTTCTTGTCTGAGGCAATCTATGCTGTGATTGGTTACTGTGAGTGTAAAGGAGGACTTTCCTTGTTTCCCGCCTTTTTTCCTCTGTATGCTCTGTAATTTTACCTCAGGATGACTCTGTTAGCCTGACTATCTTGTTTACTGTAAATATTGATATAAAATATATTAATTTAAACAAAAACTACAAGTTCGTGTCAGCGTCTCTGCCCTCATTTAGACACCTGCTGCGCAATTTCCTGACAGATTCTCTTTCCTCTGGATTGAAAGTGTAGTGGACGTGAGCAGCTGATCTGTTTCTCAGATGAACTCCTAGTTTCTTCCTGTATGCAGTAAACAGCAGTGTCCTTATCTGCGTTTCTACTCCTACTTAGTCTGAGAAAATGACCTCCACATTGTCTCCCTGACGTTTTCCATCCTAGCCAGTTTCTGATTCTGTCTATCCCACTTTATAGAGAGCTTTTTAGAAGCTGCTTTCATTTTGCTGTTTTTTGGTCTATAATGATGGGTCCACAGCTTGATCGCAAGGATGTACGGTAACTTCTAGCAAAGTTGTTTGTCTGATTGGCCAGGTCCTCAGCAGATGGGATCTGTAAACCCTAATCCATCCCATTTTTTCTCTTTTTTAGTGCTACCTACAAATGCAAGAAAAACTAGAGATACTGTAAATCTCTATGGAGATTCTCAGTCATCCAAGTCATAGTTGTCCCAAAGGTGCTTTTTCAAAAGGCAACTGAACTTTATTGGTTTTTAAGGGATTTCATTTCCTCTGGACTGAAAGGGTGGTGGAAGTGAGCAGCTGATCTATTTCTAAGTTGAAATGCTATTCATTGTGTATGGTTAACTGTATTTTTACTTCTAGATGGTTTGTTAAGATGAACTAAACCCTCCACACTGTCTCCAGGAGGAGGAGAGAGAGGTGTTCTCCCATGCAGTTTCTCATCCTGTCTGTTTCACTTTGTAGTCTTAGGAATGGCTTTCATTTTGCTAATGTCAGACTTGCCCCAATCCGATCTCTTAGGAAAGAAAGCATCTCAACTCCATTTAATTGAAATGATCGGTTCTTTTACTAAAGAAATGTTGGTTGCAGTAGAGTCAGACTACAACTAAATTTATGGAATGGAATGGAATAAGAATTAAGAGTAGAAAATAGAATAAGAATTAAGAGTAGAACAGGACAGAAACAAACAGAATAGAATAGAATAACAGAGTTGGAAGGGGCCTTGAAGGTCTTCTAATCCAACCCCCTGATCAGGCAGGAAACCCTATACCAGGGGTAGGCAACCTCGGCTCTTTTATGACTCATACGGGAATTCTGGGAGTTGAAGTCCATGAATCATAAAAGAGCTGAGGTTTATTTATTTATTATTTATTTATGAGACTTATATACTGCTTTTAAGTGCAAGCACTCTCTAAGGGGTGTACACCAATAAGCAATGTATGTATATATATATATATTTACATTGCCCCCAACAATCTGGGTCCTCATTTTACCTACCTCGGAAGGATGGAAGGCTGAGTCAACCTTGAGCCGGTGAGATTTGAACCGCTGATCTGCTGAACACAGTCAGCTAAAGTGGCCTGCAGTACTGCACTCTAAATGCTGCGCCACCTCGGCTCCTAGGTTGCCTACCCCTGCCCTATACCATTTCAGACAAATGGTTGTCCGATCTCTAGAGCAGTCACAATTTCTGGAGGCAAGTTGTTCCCCTGATTAATTGTTCCAACTGTCAGGAATATTTTTTCTTAGTTCTAGGTTGCTTCTCCCCTTGATTAGGAGATACAAATGGTTTTCCCTCCTCCCAGCCCTCCTCCCATGACCAGTCCATCTTCAAGCAATAAGGATCCACCTAGGTATTTTGAGAACACTGAGATGTTTGGGGAAATCCACATTCTTTCTCAGGGTCCATGGCTTCAGGTGCTGGTACAAACTGTTTCAGAGCTTCTTTGTACTTCCATTTCCCCTCCTCCCTGTTTCCCATCATGTACACACACAGGTTAATTGCCCATTTGTCCCCCATGTCCTCCCTTCTCCTAGCCTTTGATGGCAGGATGCCAGCAAGCGCCCCCCCCCCCATTTTCATGGAGATCTTCCTTAGGGACAACTAGGGGAGAATGAACATGTCCAAACTGAAAACCGGTATTTTCAAGGGAAAACTTCCTCAAGCAGAGTTAGGACATCCATCCACCCATCAATCAGAATAAACCTGAAAGGGACCTTGGAGGTCTTCTGTTCCAACCCCCTGCTCAAGCAGGAGACATCAGTCGATGCTTCCCCTTTCTCCAATGTAAATTTGGTGAACCTGTTCTCTCTCATCATCCAATTTTTGAACAAAGTCAGCTTTCAAAAGTCCCTCCTGTATCCTTTGAACTGAACCTGAAGGAGAAGCAGAGTTGATGAGGACCCACCCTGAGACTCAAAAATGATTTTCCCCAAAGCATTAGGGATTTGTATTCTGCAGTACAGGCGGCAAGAGGGAAGCCTGTGACTACTGTAGATATGAACCTAATACCATGTTTTGAACACGGCCTGCTAGAAGCAGGGAGAAGAATCACAAAAAGAGCTGTGGGAAGTCAACTCCCCAGAGAAGGAAATATTAAAAGGGCAGAAAAATATATTTCCTTCAAGGATCTTAAAGAGACAGAAAAGCATGCCCAGTTTTTCTTGATAGCCCCAGGTCTCCCTCCCCCAAGCAGAAGCCAGCTCTGTACAAATGCAGGTGTAAACCATCAGGAAAGTTTGAGCCAGAAGCTCAAGAAGACAAAGACCTAAAATCTGCATACCTCACCTGTGAGAGGACATGGTAGGATTAACTCACAAATACCAGAAAGGCACACCCAGGTCAGATTACGTGACACAGGAATACAAAGCCTGAAACAGGAACAGGAACCACTTCAAACAAAAGGCTAGATAGGGTACAAAAACCTACCGTATATGTCGACGTATAAGGCGACTTCCGCAAGCGTTAAAATCGGCGCCAAAGACGGGGGTCGTCTTATACGCCAAGTCGTCCTATACACCGGAAATACTGGTAGTTTCCGGCGGATAAGACGACGTTCTAGGAATGCGACTCGGCGTCAAAGACGGGGGTTGTCTTGTACGCCGGCATATACAGTACTACCCATGTGCTCAGGCCCTTCTTTTCTCTGGTCTTTCCTGCAAGAACCATCTTTCTGGCTTTTCAATAAACTGCTACCTTCTTTCTAAAGCAGTTGCCATATTCTTTATTTATCCCCAACTTGGATGAACCAGGATAAAGACTTTTCTTTCAACAGAGCTAAGAGAAAAATAGAAATGGTGGTGGGAGTTTCAGGAATGTTCAAATAAGGGATGCAACAAATGATGCTTAATTCCTTTTACACCACCATTTGTGTCATGTATCCTTTTTGTTCTCCCCCAAATCGGTGGTGATGTGAAGATAGAGGGTTCTAGCCAAGCAGTGGCAACACCTTTTCTAACAGTCAAAAAGGAAGATGCGGAAAAGATGAGTGAAAAGGAAAGGCTTGTGGAAAAGGAGGAGCTGAAGAAATACTCTAGTTTCCAGTGTGCAGATATCGGCTCTCTCTTGCACAGTGATGATCCCCAAGAAAAAGGAGCATGTCCAGGGTGCGGAAAAATACCCAGAGATGAATTGGGATTATGTGATTGTGTAGAGAAACAAAGTGAAAGCGGGGAATGCTCGAGAAGGACCCTTCCTCTTACTTTTCATCAGAAAATACAAGAAGGAGATAAACTGTACAAATGCACGGAGTATGTGGAAAACTTCGGTACAAGCCATTCCCTCACATCCCATAAAAACATTCCCAAAACAGGGGCTCCATACAAATGCCTGGAATTTGGAGAAAACATCAGTCAGAAAAGTCACCTGAATTCCCATCAGAGGATCCACAAAGGGAGGAAGCGGCATCAATGCATCACCTGCGGAAAGAGCTTCGGAAGGAGCACCTCTCTAACTTCCCATCAATGCATCCACAGCAAGGAGAAGTATCAATTCAGGGAGGGTAGAATGAAGCTTACCCAGAGCCAGGAACAGAATTCCTGGAAAAAAAACCCCACTGGGAATGATTCATGTAAATGCCTGGAATGTGGGAAGAGCTTCCGTTCTGCAACTCACCTCACTTATCATAATAGGATCCATTCTGGGGAAAAACCATATCATTGCACAGTGTGTGGAAAGAGCTTCACCCAAAATGGCAATTTCAATTTACATAAGAGGATCCATACCGGAGAGAAGCCGTATAAATGCACAGAGTGTGGAAAATGCTTCAAGACCCCCGGTGCCCTTACTTCTCATAAGACAATTCACATGGGGGAGAAACCCTATGAATGCCTGGAGTGTGGGAAAAGCTTTGCCAGAAGCGGTACTCTAATCTTACATAACAGGTTCCATAAAGGGGAGAAACCTTATAAATGCCTGCACTGTGGAAACAACTTTAGTCAAAAAGTGCATCTTCAGTCACACGAGAGGATCCACACAGGGGAAAAACCATTTCAATGCATGGAGTGTGGAAAGAGCTTCCGTGCCTCAGAAAAACTTACTGCCCATCGCAGAAGCCACACGGGGGAAAAGCCCTTTCAATGCCTGCAATGTGGAAAGCGCTTTGCCAGTTCTGGTGGCTTTTATGCCCACGAACGGATCCACACAGGGGAGAAACCGTACAAATG